GAAGAAACAACTTTCGAACAGATTCATATAATAAAATTAATACACTCTTATTAAATATTTATCATATTCAGATGAAGAAGATATCTCTAATTTATGTTGTTCATTATTAAGTAAAATTATTAAAAGACAACGTGATCTTGATGTGTCATTCTTAGTTCGGTAAGATTAATCTATAAAAAAAGAAACTTTTTTTTAAAACTACGAAATACTCTTTATTTTTTCAGTTTATTTGATTTAGGTCGATTTTGGTTACAATCTAATGAAACATCAATCCATGATAGTTATTATGCTATTTTATGTTGTTTACCTATTCATATTATAACTAGGTTAGTAAGAATTCAAATTAATAAATGTATAAATGAATAGTTCTTTAGTAAATTTCCAACACATGGTACATTATTATCATCAAAAAATGATTATTCTAGTTTGGCTAGCATTGTTAAACGAAATCATATGAATTATTCATATTTAGAAACATTTACAACAAATTGTTTTAATTTAATATTAGGTTATATACTTGTTAATCATCAAATGCCGTATGTTTGATTGTTTTGTTTTTCTTTTCTTTTATTCAGAAATGTTATCTTTTTTATTAGACGAATTTATGCCACTACATGGCTTGAAAGTTTTTTTCAATCATGTCAACGTAAAAGTAATAATGAATCTTCAAAAGAAGAACATTCATCTGAAGATCACCATCGTTTATTAACTTATGAACAATTACCAAATTTTGGAAATGATGCATTGGTTAAATTTGTTGAAAGTTTATACGTACAGGATAAAAATAACATTTTTATTATTACTTTAATCTTAGATATAGTTTTGGGCTATATGGGAATGTGCACAATTTTGTGTTATGAATAAATTGAAAATACCACTTGGAAAACCACAAGAAACATTTTTATCACTCGAAGGTGAGTCAAAAATTAGTCTCGAACTAATTCAAATGAATTATAATTAAATAAATATATGTATCATGATACATAGCAGGTTTAAATGCAAAAACTATTTATTCAGATAGACTCTAGTGATCAAAATACGATTAGAAGAATTAATAGGATTTAAAATAGAAGTTTCACAGAAGCTCAAAATTCAGTGACCTATTCCATATCCTTTTCAAAAATATTCTTGCATATTTGCGCTAACAACAGAGTAGCAGTCTTACTTACAGCTGTGCACTGATCTAAACATGTACGTATAGATTAACGTTGAAGGAACGGAGATGGTGTTCCGATTGGAGCATGAGCTCCCAACCTGAAAAAAAACTCGTGTTTTCTTTAGTTAGAAATTCCTAGAACAAGGATCGATGTCGAGAAACTCACATTCTTATGAGTCACTTTGTCAGCAATCTCGATACCTTCTGGACATTGTTGGATGAATGTCCTATAAAAATAGAATGGTTTTGAACTGATTTTGATTTTTTCGGTGGAAGAAGCCATTTCAAAGAAACACAGATTAGTTGTATAAAATTCATACATGGAAATGAGCATGAGATCACCACAGTTTTTTCATGCATTCATTGTTATTCTCTGTAAATGTTTGGAGACTAGTACAGTCTTCTACGTAAGATCGATGTATCGGTAATTACTGTCAGTGTTGCCTCTAAAGGTTAGAGATATGAATAATTCGGAAATACATGCTAATTAATGATGAAACCAGTGATGATTAAGTCCATTTGTTATTTTTTTTTTGATTGATATATATATATTGGTTATTGAAAAAAATTATTTCTAAAACTTACTATGATTTTAGAAATGAAAATATCTTTTTTATTGAACCTTGAAATAAATATAAGTATAAATATTCGAAATGGCTTTGTTGTTTAGAAACTTTACGTTTTTTCCCTTGGTCAATTGATAATAATACGAAAAAAGTAGAAGCATCTACATCAGAGCAAACGAATCGTTCTTCAACACGGTCAACAACTGTAAATCATCCATTAACATCATCATCATCATCAGGAGAAATAAATGTTTTCAATAGATAAAGGTGATTGGTGGTGTGATTTACATCGTTATGATCTTTTATTACAATTGATTGAAGCACTTGAAAAATGTATGTACAATGTATACGAAGGAGTGGCTCTTTTACTTCCACAATTACCTAAAATAAATTTGAATTTTTTTTCTTTTTGATTTAAATCACTTTTTTTTTAGACTGTTAAATTCTTTTTTATTAGAAATAAATCTACATATTGTGAATGGCTTAATCGTATTCGTATACCAATTATTTTAACAGCAGTACGAAATTATAAACAATATTTAATGCATGCGTGTTCATTAGGTCAAGCTGAGGTAAAATTATTTTAATTAAATAATGAATGCATCATAAAGATTGAAGTTAAAAGTAAGTGCAATAGAAAATTTCAACGTTATAAAACTGAGGATATCAGTTTTAAAAAAAGTATTTTTCTTTCGCATGATAATCCAAACACTTACATACTGCAAATTCTAACTGCATCGCTTCATTTTTCGCTTTTTACAGAAGTATGAAGAGTATCGAAAGTCAAGAATATTCAATAAAAATACACTGGCCTTGTCCTATACACTTTTGAATATCAGAACTCTGCTGACGAGTTGCAAATATTCTTCATGCGAATTTTTTGGAGTATTTTTCAATTAATAAAATTCTTATTTGAATTACAGCGCAGTTGCGAAGTCCTTGCAGGAACAGCAGAAAATGCAGAAATCTGTATCTGGCTAGACTACATCGTTGATGAATCATAATGCAACATATTCGTGTCAAAAGTTATGAAAAAGCGAGTAGATCCAGAAATCGATATAAAATACTGCTTTTTTTGTTTATCGTTTCCTGAATTTTAACATGAGATTGTCGTTTAAAATTTTGAATGATACACTATTTCATTGAGCATATTTTCTTTTTCATAAGAACCTAATGAGTTTCTCAGCAGTTATATCCTACTTATTTTATTTTCTGTTACTAATTTTCCAATAAAGATATATACTGGACCTCAGTGTATTGGATACTTCGAAAGAGAAAAAAACTTTCTTGACCTGTAAAGATAAACATTTGGAATCACTTCATAGAGTATGACAGATGCTGGTAAAGGATCGTCAAAAGACTATATAAACAACAACTCATTGTAACAAATGAACCATTTATCGTATTTATGAAGCATTAAAGGATAACGCGAAAACGTGTTTGAAAATAGATAAAGTAAAATACTCTTTCTATGATCAGTTACATTTCGTTTTACATCTTAATCATACAGAGATTTTGCTTACAATTTTTAAAAATGTACATCAATACTTTATATAAATAGTAAATGAATACAAAATTTCATTTACAACTAGTTCAATTGATCATTATATATCTATTTATATTTTTATTAAGGCATCAGAATTTGCATTTGTAATTATCTCATTTGTTCAATCATTTATTAAAGTTCATAATAGTATAGCTATTCATGAAATTTATACATGGTTAAAAAATATTCATCAACTTGATTGGTCATAGATACAAGCATGTGGACATGAAGCTGCTGGAAATCTTGAACAAGCAGCCTATGAATATAAATGAACATTTTAAAACTCTTTCAATGTCTAATGAAACAAAAGATGATAAGATATTATCTGGTTAAGTCTTCATCAATGGCCAGAATTAATTACATGGAATGATACATGTATTGAAATGCAAATAGTATTTTTACAAGATGATAATGATGATTTACGAAAAGCTATGGAGACAACTATTAATATAAATGCTATTTGGTAAGAAATCGAATTTTATTTTCTAAAACAACACATAACAAATTGATTTTTATTAGTGCAATGAGTTGTTTTGAAAATCAAGATTTTGAAGGTTTAAAAGTAGCTATGAGAAAAATGCCAAATTCACAAGCATCTTATGGTTGGGATATGGAAGCATTTGACATGTTAGTAACTGTTGAAACATTAAAAGGAGTGTCAAAACGAAGGTAAGTAATAAGGGAAGCAAATAATTTAAAATAAGATTTTGTATCTTTTTAAAGATTTGATCTGTAGTCACTTAATGCACTACTTCAATTAACACAAGATTTAGCATGAAATCATAATGTTGATGAACATGCATCATGGTCAGAAGAAAGAGCTACTATTAGTCAAGTAGCAGCTTTATATCAAAGTGAAGTAAAACCGAATTCAAAATTGAATTTTATTTGTAATGATTTTTGTTCGTCTTTTTAGAATCGTGAAGTTCCTCTTTTACCAGGTCAAAAATTTGCACCTGTTCAACACAGTGTACGAGCATTGAATTCTATTCTTCTTTACAGTCAATCAAGTTTTAATAATCAAATTAAATATATTATTGACAACTAGCTTTAACATACTGTTTATTTTTTGTTTATCCTATTTGAGATATTAAATATAATATTTAGGGTGAAAGAATATCTCGAATGGAGAATTGTAAAATAATTATGAGAGAAAACCTTTATTTAATTAGTCACTTTTTTAATCTGAATTTTGCACATCGTAGATTAACTAAGTGGTTATAAATATCATGAAAAATGTTTGGATTATTAGCTTATTATTACTCAGAAATTATATCTTTATCGTTTTTCTAGAGATCTTGTTGGAGTTTCTATCGGAAGATACGATTATGATGATAGTGTACCCGAAACATGATTTATATAATCCGGTAGATTCGATGTTTGTATTTTAGAATAAAAGCATATAAAAAAATCGAAAGCTTTCGTCACTAGCTATTTTTCATTAAGGTCGTTCTCTATGCCAAAGTCTAACTTGAAACTTGAAAGTCACTTTTTCATAGGATTATTATGGTATTTTTTTAAAATGAATATCGTAAGGGTGCAATGCCTTAATTACAGTAAGCTAACGACCTGAACTCTACTCACTGTATTCATAAATCATTATGATCTACATCATAGATATAGTTCAGACTTCAAAGCAATTGATCAGTTGGAAGACTTTTCACTGTACTAATGAAAAAGAAGTTGAATAGAACAAATTCTATATTAATACTCCAAGAAAGACCTTAGTTTTTTGTAAGAAGACAGAGCTACCCTCCAGTTAACTCATTAATATATGTGTTTTCAAAGTTTGATTTTGTTTCGCGAATGAGGCCTATATGATTACATAACTGAATTATTAGACTTTTATAAAATTTTGATACTAATCATTAATTTGTATATTTCTAGGTGCATCATCAGCTATAAATTCTAATTGGATAGCTCTTCGAATGGGCGGAGCACGAATAGCTCGTCAATAAAATAATTTTACATTAGCTTCTAAATGACTTATTCAACAATTTCAATCAACTCATACATGGTCAGCAGGCCCACTAACATCACAATCTAGTAATACTTCATTAGAATCTCCATTACGTTCATTTCATTCCGATGTATTATCAGTTGAAACCCATTCTCTTGTTTCACTTTTAACAATGATTGAACGCTAGCAAAATACTCATATGGTTTCCATTGAACTTGAAACTGAAACAGGAAAATTAATGCATGCTCTATTATTAAATAAAGCTAATAATGTAATTATAACAATTGCTATTGAATTTCTTTCACGAAGTGTTCTACAACATTTAATTAATGAAAGTCAAATTAGTCCATCATATAATAATTAGCGTTCATTAATTAATATTGAAAAATGTTCAAGAAATTTATTACATATTGCTAAATGGTCACGTAGTGCAATTGAAAGTAATTATGAAACAACGACAACAAATGTTATATCATTAGGAAAATTATTTCAGTTACGAAAACAATATCTTATTACTGATTGGGTACTGATATTGCCGGAGGTTTGTTTATTTTAGTAGATTTGTTTTCAAAACAGAAAAAAAAAGAAGAGTTCTAATCATATATTTTCCTTTTTAGAAAGTTTTGTACGAAAAAATATTCCTCTTGATGAAACTATTAATTGGAGAATTATTAGATTTTTCAACATTAACTTGTCCAACTTTGGCTAAATCATGGTTTAGATTTGCTGATTGGTCTTATATTTGGGGGAGACAATTACTTGCACGATCTATATCGTATGAAGTTAATTTGTCCATACTATTCAATAATTTTCGTGTTTTCATTAGATTATCTTCATTGGATATGGGACAACAAGTTCATGCAATTCTTCCAGCGGTTTGTTTATTTGATTCTATATTGAAAAATAAAATCTCTTCAAAGGCGACTACAAAATTTTGGTTACAAAAATAAGATTCATTTTGACTTGCAGAGATACGCTTTCTTAGAAAGTCTAGATATATTTTGTTCTATAATCAAAATGTGTAGTCTAAGTAAGAATTTGCTTACCCCATTCTTATTCGTTCAAATACTGAAATAAATGTTTCTATGAAAGATACATGCTTACAAAAGCTAAAGAAATGACACTAAATGAAATATCAGAATGAAAAAAAATGTCAGAGCAAATATTTTATAGAATCAGCTTTCCATTCATAAATTATCTTCGAAAAGTTCTAATATTCATTTTCAATTTTTGATGTTTCGACCTGAAACTTCATTCATAAATAAAACGAATGGTTAGTAGAATATTCGAAATGTTTCAGCCGAAAAGAACATTTCCGTATCAACATATGGAATGTTCAAAGAAAGTTTTTTTTATAAAAAAAAAACTCGAGTTTATTTGAAAATTTGATATCTCGACCAATGAGTACATTTTTTCTATTGAACATTTCAGAATCTTCTACTAAACATTCATCTTTTTGTAAGGAATGAATTTCCGATCGAAATATAGTGATTTATTTTTTTACTCAATACCAAAAAAAAAAGATTAAAAATTTAGTAAAAAAAAGTCATAACTCAGTTCCATAGAAGAAGAAGAATAGTCTTACTATATGGGGTACTACTTAGTCATAGATAAAATATCTCAAACAACTACAAAGTCATGAAGGCTAGTCTCGAGAGATCTACGGACACGAACTCTTTTAGGATTTTTCTAGTATTACCAAGATCTCATTCTTAACTAAATATCATCTTAATACAACGGGTAACAGTTCGGATAGTTCTCTTGTTAGTGTTAATATGTATGAAATACGAAATACTAAAATAGTATTCGTTATGTCTACAAACTTCAATCGTTATATTTGCTTCACATTAGCTGTCTTTGAAACGCCTCTATAACAAACTATTTCTCAAGTAGTTTAATGTCATACATTTAAAATTTACTGGTTTTTCTCTCAACGAAAAGGCTCTATTATTTGATTAAAAAAGACTCAATTGATTTCATGCCTGATTGGATGAACTCGATTGAAATATTTTGATTTCGATTTATTTTATGTTCTTTATCAAAGATTTATTTCAAAGAAAGATTTCGAGTTTTCAAATAAATCTACAACTAATCAATAGCTTTTTTCACGATAATTAATTATTGATTTTTTTTTGTGTTTAGGAAATTTCATCCGACGAAATAACTGAAATATCTCGTATAATATCTTCAATGCAAATTTTAACTGATGATGATTCTGAACTTGTAAATTTAATATTCTTCTATACATATTATTTGTAATTTTTTTTAAACGTAGACTGCTGCGGAATTATCATCACTGCATTCACATCGTACTGATTTATCACGTGCTTGTTCATTACTTACAAAGCATCCAACCTTAATTGAACAATTACTTGCTTTGCATCCACAATTTGATTTACATCGTTATTTTGTGTTAGAACAATTTTGTCGTGCTTATTTTACATATTTACAATTAAGTAATATTAATACATATGGAAATTTGAATGAAAAAAAAATCAAATGTTCTTGTTACATTACGTTTATTACATGTACTTGTACGTTATCCTCAACAATTACGTACTATATTTGAAATAAATCTTGTTAATGTACCAACTGTTGCATAGAAACGTCTTATACCACAATTATTTTCTCGTTTAAATCATCCTGATAGTTTTGCTCGAGATTATGTTACGAATTTATTAATACGCATAGCAAAAGATTATCTCCAATTAATACTTTATTCAGTTATTGTTGGCATAACTGATGATTCAAAAATGAGACGTATTAAATCACGAGATGAAAATATTTATCAAAGAAAATCTTTGAGTACACATGGATTAGATGAGGATAAATCACAAAATGATATTGAAGAAGATGATGATATTGAACAACAAGAAAATGTTGTAGCTATGCAAAATAGTTTTAGACTAATCTATAATGTACTTTCGGAAACAAATGCACATGTAGTTGGATAAGTTAAATTATTTGTACATGAATTACGACGTGTTACTGTCCTATGGGATGAACTTTGGTTAGGAACTATGGCACAACTTCAAGAAGAAAATAGTCGATTAGTTCGAAAAACAATTATACAGCAGAGAAAACCTAGGGCGTTAACAGAAAAAGTTGTAAACAGCCAGAAACTCTAGTAATCTATAGAAGAGATGATTCTTATCTTAGCGAAAATCAATTAGTGATAGATAGGAATTTAACATAGAAATCTCTCGAGATACCAAATCCACTTACGACTGAGACGATACTCATTCCATCAGTCATAGACAGGTCTAGAATGGCTTTTGGTTTTCATAGCTGTTGTTCTCGAGAGATTAAAACATTTTTGAACTTTTCACTAAAAACTTGTGACCACTTGAAAAAATCGACTTGATTTCAAATTTTGCACTCATGAATCTCACATGAGAGAATTTCCAATATTGAAAATCATAGGATACAAGATAATAGGAAGTTATAAACTTTTTCTAGAAACTAATTTTATTGAGAATTTAGTTCATGTGAAATTTAATACTTGATTTTTCGAATTTTTTTAATGAACATATAGAATTCCACTCTCTGTTTTCCTTTTGGATGAGATTTTCCCTTTAATAAATAGAGTTTGTATTATTAGTCTGAAAGTACCAAGCTGCGCGTTCATACTTTTTGAAGGCTTGAGTTAAAATTAGTCCCGACAGAAGTTTTTCCTTAACAAGATCCAGCATAAAAATTATAAAATCAGTAGTAACACTGAAATTCTTAGTCAGATAGCACAGATTTTGTTATATCTATGTAGTCTTCAAAAGAAAATAACTTATAATATATTTATTTTGTTCTATTTAGACGTGTCGATGTACTTAAAGATGAACTTCAACGTTTAGAATCTATGACACATTTAACCAAGGACAAAAAAGAATATTTGATTAAAGAAAAACAAGATATTTTATGTAAATCAGTAAATTCTTATATTCATTGTAAATCACATTTTTTTTCTTTATTTTATTCAGTTTATAACCGTTCTTGAAGCAATTAGTCAAATAACTCGATTACCTGCTGAAACACCACGTAAAAAACATTTCAGAAAGATTATAGTAAAAAAAATAGAGGCAGCTATTGAACAATTAAAACAGCCTATTATATTATCTGATCCACATTCATGTTGGTTAAAACTTCGACAGGTACAAAATTAGAAAAAAAATCTTAAGTTATTTATTCTCATATTGTTTTTTATTTTTGAAAATTAAATCACATTAGCTCTATTCAATGTTACATCGTATGGATAAACGATCAAGTACAATTCATGCTATGAGTCAAATAAGTCCAAAATTAGCACAAATAAAACATAGTGTGACATCAATTCCAGGTGAAGATGGACAGGTTTGAAGAAAATGTTTTTCTTTTCTTTCTGCAATATAGACAAATCATTTTCGTTTATGAATAGTCTCATACAATTCACAGTGTTGGTCAAACTGTTCAAGTATTACCAACAAAAACGCGGCCGAAAAAATTAATGTTTGTTGGGTCAAATGGTCATCGATATCAATATTTATTAAAAGGTCTTGAGGATCTTCATCTAGATGTGCGTATTATGCAATTATTATCAATAATAAATGTTATATTTACTAAAATAAATCATAATGAACCATGGTCATATGAAGCTAGAAACTATACTGTTGTACCGTTGGCATCAAGAAGCGGTTTAATAGAATGGGTTGAAGGTGTAACAACGTTATTTACACTTTATAAGCGATGACAAAAACGACAAGCAACAGCACAAACATGGAAAGCTCAAGTATATTTTCAATTTATATTTGTAAGCAAAAAGTTGTTTGTTTAAAAATGTTTTTAATCAAGAATGAGAATCAAGAAATTACTTTAGCTACAGCTTATTATTCAAAAATAAAATGCTATATTAAAAGAAAAAGTAAAATAGAAGATATAAATTTTATGTTTTTTTTTTTTTTATTATTTATTTAATTTTGAATAAAGGGCAAACCACCAGTAGAAGATTGTCGTGAAGTACCAATGCCGATATTACATCAATGTATTGAAGAATTAATACGTGAAACACCAGCAGATCTTTTATCACGGTTAGCTTTTTTCTATTCATTTTTAATTAGCATTTTATTTTGGTTTTGTATATTTAGTGAACTCTGGTGTAGTTGTCCAAGTGTTGGTTTATGGTATAAAAATGTTCAAAATTATAGGTACAAATTCATCATCTGTAAAACTATATGTTAATCTATAGATAACCGCAGCTCTTCTTTCAATATGAAATAATTTTTAAGTGATCTTCTAACACTAAGAAGTCCGAGAATACTGAAGGCATGAGGTTTATTTTGACCGAAAATATCTTACAAACAAATGCAGCATGGTAAAATCATACAGTACGCAAATAATTAGAGATAGATAGTTTCATTTTACCAAATCACTGACAGTGAGTTTATTCTAGTCAGGGCTGTGGTGACCGGGGGGGGGGGGGGGGGTGGGGGGGCCGGCCTCTACGCAGCAATCGTTACGTTTCGGGCACTGTGA